TGGGCACGGGAGTTAGGCTGACCAAGTACCTGAGAAAGTAGAAGCAATGTTTTGGTGTTACACGAGAGTAGCTAGAGTGGTACTGAAACTTTAAGCCCGTGACAATAGTCTCACTTATGATTAATTTTTATTCATCTATTATCCTAGTTTCATTGTTTAATAGTGAATTGTGATTACATCTTAATGGAATAATTTTGTTTGAGCACAAAGGAGATAGAGACAATGGGTAAAGTTGGTAACTGAAAATTGTTCTGATTATCTTAAGGACTTTTAAAAATTAATTCACCAAATGTCTTTTGAATTCTGAATTCATTATGACAAAATTCCTTTTAAAAAGGCATTTCAATCTAAGAATTTTTTTGTATTAGAAAGCTCCCTCAAACACAGCCTTAATTTGGGCAATATCGACTCCCTTAGATGGAGAGCTATCTTTATACATCTCCATTGGTCATTTAATTGACACATTAAATGCTATCAAAAAAAAAAAAAATGAAAAAGAAATTTTTTCACACATTAAATACATTTATGTGTATTGACCGACGAAACACAAACCGGGTATCAAAAAAAAAAAAATAATAATAATCTGATCATTGAGTTTCTCTCCATCCAAATCTAATTGGACACAAAAATTTATTTTTCTTTATCTCATGAAGAAACGTCCTCATCTTATTCATTACCATCTCTCTCTCTCTCTCTCTCAAGGTTGTTATCTATACCATTTATCTCTCATTATCAAACCATCCTTATATGTCCTTTTAAAATCACTTGAAACCCAATTTCATAATTTATTTACTAATGTAAAATCACTAGAAAGTTGAAACCCAATTCCACAATTTCTCTCTATTTCTAGTAGTCAGGTGTCTGACTTTCATGTTCTAAGGTTCACAGTTTATTAGAATATTTATTTGTAACAGTCACAGACCCACATGCCATTGTGAGGAGAGGACAAAGAAATCTCCAACAAGAAGTTGACCATGATTACCGTGAGATGATTAACTGATACACTAATGTAAAATCACTTGAAAGTTGAAACCCAATTCCACAATTTCTCTCTATTTCTAGTAGTCAGGTGTCTGACTTTCATGTCCTAAGGTTCACAGTTTATTAGAATATTTATTTGTAACAGTCACAGACCCACATGCCATTGTGAGGAGAGGACAAAGAAATCTCCAACAAGAAGTTGACCATGATTACCGCGAGATGATTAACTGATACACACACACACACACACACTACACGGACACATGGATAGGGAGGGGGAGGGGAGAGAGGTAAAGATCAAAATGGTGAATTTTTTTTTTTTAATTGAAATTTTTTAAAAATTTCACAAATTTTAATTTCAATACTCTGAACACGCCCTCAAAATAAATGAGATCGCTATAAAGTTTTTGCTGAAATGGTGATTAATTAAGTTAAGATGGTGAAAGGGTAGTTTAGACATTAAATATTATGTCTGCTATGAATGTGCCATGAAATTAGGAACAAAATGTTGCCACCAGCTCTTTCTATTTTCCTACGTTTTATCACGATGCAATGGATGTAGGAACAAAATGTTGCCACGAGCCTATTACATATGTAATGAAGCGACAATGACGGATCAATTTATACATCATTTTTCAAAAAAATATTACTGAATTGGACTATGAAAATGACGGATCGATTTAAATAACATATTTTCAAAAAATATTAGTGCAAGGGTCAAGGGCCTATGACAATGACCGATAGATTTTATATAATTTGTTTATGAATTGCTTTTTGTAAGATAATTTTATTGTCTTCGTTATACTGTGCAATGAGAATATTCAATTATTTATTATCGGTGTGTGTAATATATATATATTATACGAACGATCTGAATACACTCGTTATACGATACAACGAGTGCAATAAATTTTTTTTGGACTTTATTTATTTATTTATTACGGATCAGACCATATGTTGAGATTGTGCTTACCAGAGGAGTTGGTGGGTCTCAATTCATTGGCATTCTATTTTACAAGTCTCTAACCTTTTTCTTTCTATTGCACTGTGTAATAGGCACAACTAACTGTTCATTATCGTGCATGTAATACATGCATGCGAACGATCCAAATGCACCCGTTACATCAAATAAGTTTTTCTTTCCTGTTTCACACATCACACTTTGCACGTGACAACTCCACCTTGTGCATGAGCCAACTGTTGGAGGGACCCCTGTGAAACCAACCATCTAAAACAAATTATTCGTTTGCCGGAAGCGAAATTAAAGTAAAAATTTTGATAGATAGGATCACGTAAAAACTTTTTTCGTGGAATGGGTCAAACCAGATCATTTCTGAATTACATTTGTTAAAGGCCCTAATAGTGATACTACTACTTGGATCCAGAACTTGCATGATATGTTTACTATTTCGATAATCATACCAGCAATTTGCAGGAGATCTCAAATAGTATTTAGTGTCCATTTCAGTCAAATCTCCATCATCTTTCTTTATCTAAGTGACACGTATTTCTATGGTGAGTGAAGATTGACTGAAAAATAATAATAATAATTGACTGTCAAAAATACTAAAAAAATTAATAAGAAAATATGAGACACTGTAAATCTATATAACTAAAAGGCATAAAGAGTCATAAGTGACGAGAAGAGAGAAGGGGAGAGTCAATGCCCCGATCGACAATTCACTTCGTACACATTCTGCATTCCACTCATCACTCCACTCTGCGTATAAAAGAAGTTGATGGCGACATTGCCTTCGATTGAGAGAAAACCCTACCGGGGATAAAGTCTTCTCTAGGTCTAATAGTAACGAAGATCGTAAAAGATAATTTATTACTTAAGCTGGGAGATGCAGACAACAATTGGCAGCTTATAGTTACACCCGACTAGTTAGGTCTTCTTCAATCTTTCAGTTTCATAGACTAATTTATTTATAAGCTTGTAGCTTTGGTTTGCTGGGCTAGGCTATTTATTATTTATGTTTTATTATAAATTGGGCAGCTTGGACTGGGCTATGACTGATAGAAAATAATAGTACTAATTTTATTTATTTATTATTTTTGGGCCTGGGCTATCGGTTAGGTTAGCCCACAAAGAGTTCCGCCCCTGACGCTTACACTTGATGCCCGTTTGGAATTACTGTTAAAATTATGAAAGCGTTTTTAGTAATAGAACTGTTATAAAATTGTTGTCAATAAAAAAATAAGTTATGAAAGCGTTTTTAGTAATAGAACTATTATAAAATTGCTGTCAGTAAAAAAATAAGTTATGTATTTGGTGATGTATTTTATAAAGTGCTTTTTATATTTAAAGTATTTTAAAATTTGTTTGGTAATAATATTGCTTAAAGCACGTTTACTACTGAATTTACTAATACTATCCCCATCCTTCGTATATTTTGTTTTGGTTCTATATAATATGAATTCTTGCTTATCAAAGGGAAAAAATAAAACATCAGCACTCATATTTATGAAATTCAAATTGTATAAGATTCAAGACCGAAGTTTAGTTTTACTAATTATAGCTTGATTTTTTTTAGTATACTAATTGTAACTTTATGTGAGTTTAGTTTTAAATAAAGTTAAAATCTAAAATTTTTCCAATGCAACTCTAATAAAAAAACATGCTTTAAGAAGTTGATCTAAAACAACATGCTTATATATGGACAAGAAATAGATGATTATGGAACTGAATTACTACTCCACTAAACTTCTAATATAACATGAATTTCTAACATGTAGGTTTCTTATAAGGAAGGATGCTGAATTTCTAATATATAGGTTTCTTAAAGGGAAGGGGTAACAAACAATACTAGCAAGTTCCACTTTTTAGACAACACAAATAGGTTTGCATAATATTTGTATATTCTTTTAACACTAGGGACAAAATTATATTTATAAAAAGTAAAAAGGGATTAAATTGTCTAAAATAATATAATTATCATAAAAAATTTGCGTCTACTTAAAACACAATTTTAAAAGTTATGATTTGTAACTTCAAGTGAATGCTTTTTTTGGATGAAATCTCTACTATCTGACCGCACTTATTTTTGTCACAAAACGCATCTGACCGCACTTATTTTTGTCACCAAACGCATCTCACCGCAATTTTTTAAAATGAAAGCGTTTTTTAATGATAGAGAAGCAATCTCAAACAAGGTCTTACACACAATGCATTGTAAATATTTAATGCTGCGATGGGTAGACCGGTAGACTCCGTGTCATATAACAGAAAAAGTATATTCCTTATGTTCCAAAATAGTGTAATTGTAAGTCACAAAAATGTGAGTGACAGTTCCTAAAGTGTCTAACTATTTTGGGGCGGGGGGAATAATATTTTTGTGTTTTTAAAATGGTGGAATTACCCATTAAAACCTAATAAAAAATCCAAAAAAAAAAAAAATGACAGAAAAAAGAGTCAAGCATGGCAATACATTTTCAAAAAAAAATCTTGGGTCCTTGTTACTGTACATCATAATTCTTTCCTTTGTTCTTTTCAGTTTTTAAATTTTATTTATTTATTTATTAACAATCAAAGATTGGATGATAATTTGCCTCGTGGGGATGGGTACCAGCCTCATCCCGTTGCGTTTATAGCGATTTTGAGGGACCGTTTAGCTTATTTGAACGGGAATGATTTTTATTAGTGAAAACCCGGGTGGGTTCGGGGCGGGAGAGGTCACCCCGCCCCGCCCGTTTAGGTAGATAAATTACTAAATTATCCTTATTTTATTAGTATATATAGTTAGCTCTAAAAACACTAGGTCAAATTTATTCACTTTCTCAGTCGTTCTAGAAACCAGTAGAGCCCTACAAACTAAGAACATTCATATTCTTGAATTTTATATTAAATTATGGATTGTCCAATTTTTTTAATGAATTTTTCAATAGTTGTATAATTGTATTAGTAGAAGAAAAAAAGATTAAAAAGGAAGAGAAGTTTTGGAACTAAATGAGGTGAAACGGTTGCTCACGTGAGTAAAAACAATTAAACAGGTAGGGATGGAATGGATAGCCCCGTTTAGACAATTTTGGACAAAAATAAGACGAAAGTTTTGAAATAGTTAGGGAACGGGAGGGTATACCGAACCAAAACCACTCATCCCTAATCAAAGATTATGTGCCATAACAAAATTATGTCAGTGATAATGGTGTAGAAAGTTTAATAAGACAAGTAACATCAAAATGGTGCAACGCAACTGAGGCATGGAAGTGCAACTGATGGCTGATGCTGGTATTTTGAGTGTCAATCAGGCACAAAAATTCAGCATTTTCAAATAGAGGGTTTGCTGCATCAATCTCCACTCTCATCATTCATGGTACGCGAGGCGGTTGTACATATATATTACATACACTGATCGATACACACACTTTTAATATGAGTGTAATAACACCTTGCAACATGTTTATGTCTAGTTGAAATTTCTTCATTCGTGTAGCCTTACAAGACATGTCCTCCAGCACCAAGGAAGAAGATCGGATAAGTCCACTGTCAGATGAAATCATCCTTCGCATCCTCTCCTTCACGCCCACAAAATTTGCGGTTCGAACAGGCATTTTGTCGAACAGGTGGAGGCACCTCTGGAAGTTCAGTCCCGTCATCGATTTCTATTCATTGCCTTATAATTGGAGAGAACCTGTTGATAATTCGTTTGTCAATTGATGCCTGGAGCTTCATAGAACTCCAGAACTGCTGAAGTTTCGCGTGGTGTCGAACTGGTGTCCTGAATTTAAAAGCCGGGTCGATTTTGCCATAGCAAGGAATGTTCATGATCTCGTAATGGGTTTTACTTTAGAATCATTAGGCACAAATCGTTTAAAGTAGCCACGTTCCTTTTATGCTAATACCCAGTCCATCAAGTGTTTGTGGTTAAGCTGCTTTTTCTTTAGGCCTCCTACATATTTCACGGGCTTTGCTAATCTTAAGACACTCTCTCTTTGCTACATTGTACTAAGTGATAAAGTTTTTAAGTTGTTTTATTCAGATGTCCCCTTCTTGAAAGCTTAACTTTGTATGAATGTTTTGGGTTAATTAATGTTAAAATTGCTGCCCCAAACCTGCGACTCAAGCACTTTGTCTTCCATTCGAATATGCAAGACAACGGAGTTTTACTTGAAATTGATGTATCTGGTATCCCTCAAATACGTCGGAAGTTGGATGGAAATTCAGTTAAAAAAAACTCAGCTTCTCTAACTGAAGCCGCGTTTTACTTTTGGGATATGAAACCATTGAGGACTATTGCTGTGGAAAGTTTGGTGAGGAAAGTTCACCGCGGAGTGGCATTTCTGAGTGTAGATTCTTGGTTTGTGCAGGTAAAAGCACACACTGTTTTACATTTACAATTATTGTTGGAACTTTCTGTGTGAATATTGAAATTCATTCATCTAATTTTTCTTTCTGTTGGTGCCTTGAAAATTGAAAGTTCATGGCAAAAAAAACTATTACATGAATCAAATACAATGTACATCATTTCGAAGCCTCAAAAAATTTCATTGGTGTGGTCCGATAAGGGCCGAACATGAACTTATCTCTCTACTTGCTTTCCTGGGGGATTGTCCTGCCCTTAAGGAAATTAAATTAGATGTGAGTTCTTTTTTACTATTATTATTATTTTTTAATTGGGAAAATTCTTTCTGTTTATCTAATCCCCACAAGTCACTAATCTTTTGAATGCAGGCACAGTTTTGAGATGCCTATTTCGATGGGTTTCACGAATGGAGAAGTTATAAGGATGTCACAGCGTGTCATTATGCCGAGCTGGAGGATGGACAAGTTCTGTTACATGGTGGGTGTCTATAAGCTCAAGATAATTAATGTCTGTGGCTTTTCAGATTATAAGAGAGAGACGGAGCTGGTGAAACATCTATTACAAAGAGCATCCTCTTGTAATAGATAAACAGTTGCTTCAAGAAGAGGTATCTCTTTTACCAAGAGCATCCTCTTGTGCCCAAGTCGAATTATTTTAAGGATTTCCAGCATTATAGGAGGTGAGATTTAGGATTAGGAGGCTTAACAACTTTGGAGTAAAAGAAAAAAAAACTCTCATTTTTTTTGCCCATGTTTTGCTTAGATTTCATGTATTCAGTTCTCTTTAGAAAATAGTTTCCTTGTCTTTTAAAGCCTAGTACGATCTTTGAAAGCAAAATTGACACTTTTCCGTTGGAGTCCAGATTAGGGTTCATGGGTAAGTTGTATTCCGTTGCTTAAATTATTATTGTACTTATTGAAGCTAAAAGTCACTGCCTAGACTCTTTTATGAAGATGCCATATACGCATCGAACACATGTCGGACACTGACATTTCAGAGATACTCGTAGTTGTGTGTTTGACACCTTGTAAACTTGCGAAAGTAAAAATTTCGTAATATTTTCATTGTTTTGTACACGTTGATGACACATTATAAATACCATCCAACATTTGGCATATGTAATACACATTTTAATAGGAGCCATGTCCAATGCTTTTGGAAACAATATAATGACAAAGGTATTTTAAGTGACTATTAGCAATATATGATACAATAATTTTAAGGAAAATGATAAATATCAGGATATAAATTTTGTGATATTTATCTAGAAAGACATGGTCATTCCACGTCAGCACCCAAACACTGTTTATATTTATATGTTGTAGCATATGTATAATTGACCATGGAGAGAGTGATATCCTTTCGATTGAAGGTAAACAATGTTTGATGCAAAATCTATTTAAAGATACACACCTCGAAATTTTTTTTTCCGATATTTGTAGCGCTGCTCTAGTCTTAATGGTGGTTGTGAAGTTTTATCTTCCACGTTATGGAACCTAGTATAAGAATGTACAGTAGCAATCAAAATTATAATATGTATAATTTTATCATTTTCCACGTCAGCACCCAAACACTGTTTATATTTATATGTTGTAGCATATGTATAATTGACCATGGAGAGAGTGATATTCTTTCGATTGAAGGTAAACAATGTTTGATCCAAAATCTATTTAAAGATACACACCTCGAAATTTTTTTTTCCGATATTTGTAGCACTGCTCTAGTCTTAATGGTGGTTGTGAAGTTTTATCTTCCACGTTATGGAACCTAGTATAAGAATGTACAGTAGCAATCAAAATTATATATTTTTGTCAGTATTATACGTGCACAAATATAGAAATATATATTTATGTCTTGCCGTTCCTCACTATGTTTTTGTCATACCTTTTTATGATTTGTTATGTTATTGTATCTGTGCCATATGGTGTTCATATCCCAGGTATGTGATGGTGCTACCAGATTATCAGCGAAAAAACTTCAAGCAGGCTGCCTTTTGGTGTGTCATTTTGAAAGCAGGTCAATTGTTGAAAGCAGACTGCCTTGTAGGAAATGAAGAAGACAATCTACAGTTACGGTTTCGGGTTGGTGTCTCAACTATTTGCCCTTATACAAGGACGCTTTGCCTTGAAATATCTTCTTGACTTTCTATCTCTGAAATATATATCTTACAGTCTAGTTTTTGGCAAAGCTTGAACATTTTGGTTGTAATGACAGCATATATTGGGTACTTGATGTGATAGTTGTTACTGTGCCTTGTCTTCCAATTCTATGCAAGATTATTGAAGTTTGGAATACGGAACTGGTCCCTCTTGCTGGGAGCAAAAATGTTGGAATTGGTATCCATTTGCAGGCGTCAGCAGGTAATTGAAGTTGATTGCTGTCACGGGCTGCAGCGCTGCTGCTATCATCCATTTGCAGCAAATTATAGTAGGAATGTTATACGGTTTCATTTAGGACTGTAACTTGGGCGGGTTAATCCAGCCCAACCTAGAATTTTTGAAATTGGGGCTTATATTCACAAGTCGTGTTTATGTTTGGGTTGGATTTTGCCAAAACCCAGACAAAATCGGGTTGGGCTGGGCTCAACCCGAACCCAACCCAAAACCCATTTTTTTTTTTTTCATCCTTTCTCTCTCCTCTCTCTTTCTCTATCCGCCGCCGTCCATGGGCGAAGCTTGATAGTTGAGAAGGGGGCTTTTTTTTTTTTTTTTTTTTTTTTCTCTCTCCTTTCTCTCTCCTCTTTCTTCTTTCTCTTTCCCTGTCTTCTTTTTCTTTATCTTTCTCTCTGTGCCACCGTCCATGGGCGAAGCTTGAACAATTTAGGTTTTGATTTTTTCAACAAATCTGAAATGATATGGCGAAGCTTGAACCAATTTGACGAAGCTTGAACAAACTGGACAGCGGGCGATGGAAACTTAAAGATCTGAGTTTTGATTTTTTGAACAATCTGAAATGATATGCCGATGTTTTGATTTTTTGAATAATCTGAAATGATATGCCGATATGGGTTTTGAACTTTTGATTCTAGCACACAGATAGATAAAATTGTAATATGTGGGTTTTGAACTTCTAATTCTTGTAGATTTTGTAACTTGCAGTTGGAGAGAGAGAGAGAGAGAGAGAAGGTGGAGCTGGAGGCGATAGGGGGGCTAAAATGATTTGCCCTAAAAAAAAATATATATATATATATATAATAATATAATCAAATATATAATATATAATATAATACATATAAATTTTTTTTAAAAAAAAATTTTAAAAAGAAAAAACCTCAACCCGACCCAATCCGTCCGAAAATATTCGATTCGGGTTATGATCATAACCCATGGTGAGTACAATTTGAGTGGCCCAACTCAACCCGCTTCGGATTGAGGTTAGGTTGGGACTGGGCTGGGTTGGGCCAACCCAAGTTGCAGCCCTAACTGATTATGAATGGGCGAGTCATATGAATGACGAGTCAATAATCTATTATTAACCCATTTATAATGAGTGATAAAAGGATTGGGTATTAAATGGGCCAGTTAACACGTACTCAGTCCAATTATCAAAATATTTTTAGATACAAATTGTCAAATTATTTTAATTATTGAATACTAAAAAGAAATTTTATATATTTTAACCGAAAAAAAAAAAAAAAAAAACCAACCGGAGGAGAGAGAAATGGAGAGAAGACAGAGAAACAGAAGGGAGAGAATAGGAGGAGAGAGTTATCTAAAAAAAAAATAATAAAAAAAAGGGAGAAGAGAGAGAAAGGGAGAAGAGAGAGCAAGGGACAAGAGAGAAAATTTTAAAAATAAGAATAAAGAAAAATAAAAATAGAAAATATTAATATTAATATTAATAATATTAGAACATCTATATTTCTTATAATATTATTACTATTATAATTGTTGAATAACAAATATATATATATATATATATATTTATATTTACATTAATTTTATTATTTCAAGCATTACAATTTTTTCTTTTCTTTTTATGACTAAAAAATGAGAAAAAACAGAGGGTAGAGAAAAAGAGAGAAGAGAAAGAAAGAAAAAAAAAAAAAAAAATTTGTTTGAACTGGTTAAGATGGTTACCCACTATTCACCCTATATTGAACTTTGAATTGAATGACCCACTCATTTAAGTTTGGTACCGAACAATTTAATTTTAATAAACAAGCTTAGGTTTAATGGATTTGATCTTAAATTGCCACCCCCTACATGCCTCTCCTTAAATATTAAAGATTATAAACAGATCGTGTGGAATGTGGAGAAACATCTTTCTCACTATTTCTCTTATTTATAGGAAATCCTAATAGATATTTATTTATTTTATTTATTTTTATTTATTATTTTTCTTCGGTTAGGATTCAAGTCAATTCTGGAGGGTGTCTCAACCCTCCTTATGAGTTTAAATTGCAGTCTGCTTGGGCCCCTTCATGGGCCCTTGTTTTATGTTTCATGTCTGGGATCCTGGACCACTTCTTTAGGTTCTTGTTTTAATTTTAGCCCAATACTTTGATGTGGTCCTGTTACCCAATGACTTTTACTTTTTTGGGCTTGGCTTGTTGAGATTGCTCCTTAGTCCTTGTCACTTTTGCTTGGATCCACCCCTTTTATTCTTATCCTTAATTAATGGGCCAAGTGATAGTGTTGCTTGTGTGTGGCCTAGTGATGGTTGGGATGCTTCAGTTAACCAAATGAAGGGAGAAAAAAAAAAAAAAAAAATTTGTCCTCTGATGTAATTTCAATTTCGAGTTATTTTTTAATATTTTTGTTATCAGAATTGTGGAGGGCATTTTAGTCTTTTTGCCTATCTGATTTTATTTACTTGACAAGAAGTCCTTATACTATGGGGGAAGGATTTGACACGAGGGAGTGTTGTTTCCAACATTTTGAAACTAGAGGGGCTTCACCCCTTTAATTCTCACTTACCCTGGCAGCATTTAGCTCTGTAGGGACTTGTATTAATTCCAATTACTAAGACGGACTTATAATTGTTTTGTCCCATCCCTTGACTTAGTCCTTCTATGATGAATACATAGAAATAATCTATAAAACACTTCTAACATTAAAAGTTCTTTTAAAATACAATTCTCAAACGCTAACATATACGCAAAGTGAAAGTGATATCTTCTGCTTCACTTTTTCTTCTGTGTAAAAGCAAAAGTAAAAGTTTTGCCAAACAAGCCATAAGTCTAGCATGATAAAGCGCTCCTTCTCAAATCGTTGGGAGGCGTCATTATTGACTTATCATTTCAATATTATCATGTCTTGTTGATCAAAAAGTTATGTTATCATCGTGATAAATTGAACAAGGTCTGTCTTATTGTCTATCGGTGTGGGTCTCACAGTAAAAGTCATCTCAATATCGTGTGGACAAGGGCAAGGGCAACTGTCCTTAACATTTCTCTTTTAAAAAAACAAAATCAAGATAACGAAGACCCTACCACATTAATACAAAGAAACCAAGGTGTATAAATATTGTCACCATGGGAGCAAGCAAAATTTTCATATAACACAGCAGTTGGTTCAAAAATAAGTTTAAGTGGCATAGCAAGGTCATGTCTGTACTGCACGTGGGACTTGTTTGTCCTCTTTTCCATTCAATACTACTTACCCAATTTACCTAAAAAGAAAAAGGTCATGTCTGTAATGCACATGATTCTCTCAAAATAAGTATTTTTATTTATATATATTTTAAAAAATATTTTGTGGGTAATTCTGTCAAATAATTAAATAGTTATTATAGAGGAGTTCTTAGGTATGGTCCACATGAAAGAAACATTGTAGCAAACAATATTGAGAATATTTAAAAGAAAAGGTTTAGTTAATGTAGGACACGCAATCTGTTACTCATTCTAGGCAAGAACATGAGTTCTCACGACTATCTGGACCATGCCAGCTTAAAAGCCATTACTCCTCCACCGTGCATATATATACACACACATACAATTAAATGCATGATATATATATATATATATGTATGTACCTATGAGGAAACTTCCTTTCATGGTGGAATCATGACTTTCGTTCTGTGAAAAGTTTTATCTTTTACATGGTTTGAGGCTTGATAAAGAGAGCCAGTTAAGGACACAGAAAATTAGAGCTCTGCGCATGTTCTCAATAAATTCTTGTGTTGCTGTATCTTGACAATTTCAAAAGGAGGCAAGATTGAAATGACCTCTCTGCCCTTGTCATTTGGCCGGTAATGGTATTCATGAGGGACTTATGGTTACCCCAATGCCTTTTACATGCATGGGTGTTCAGTGGTCAGGATCAACCAAGTCCAACTTGTAAAACCAGGAAAAAGTCAAACCGTTCACATGATGTGCATTTAAGAGCCATTTGCAGCTTCCCAATGCAATTCTTGGCTATAGTTCTCTTTCTCCTATACAAATACATACATACATACATACATACATATATATATATATATATATATATCAACCATGACAAGGAGAATGTGAGAGGTTATAAAATCCTCAAGAATAAAAAAGATCATGATCTTGTGATCTTACAAGCTTTATGCGCGCAGTTAAAGTAGAGTTAAAATCGGTTGCTGTTGATGACAGACCATATATATACATGCAGTTAGATTTCATTAATTATGGCATATGTAGAAGAGACACCGATTAATAATTAGATCGACTTCAAAGGCCACTCAAGTGATTGATTGGACTGAACTTGTAAAAAATTTCCTAACCCTCCTTGCTTGTGCTAAGATATATATGATTTAGCCATCTTGTGTTGCAAATCAACTCTAAATGAACACCCAAATTGATTAGTGAAGCCTATATATATATATATATATATGTATGTATGTGTGTGTGTGTGTGTGTGTGTGTGTGTGTTTCTATGGGGAAAAGATGAAACATGTTCAGAACCATTTATATATATATATTTAAGCACATAATTTTAACACCAATTGAGGAAACCCTAGCTGAGTTAGTAGTAGTATCCAACTCCAAGGTCCCCCTCCTATCATTCTTAGTTAGTGAGTGTTACTGCTATATGATTATATGTACCATTTGTACTGGTTGATTACCATTATACTTCAGTTTTCAACCCCTGACCCACAAAAGAGCTAGGGGAGAAAAGGAACCGGAAGAAAAAGTAGGAAAAGACATTAATAAATAAATTGATAGAGACCACACCTATAATTTCTTACATGTGGTTTCAACCAACTTCATGTATCATGCGATCAATTGTAACTCTTTTTTTTTTTTTTTTTTTTGGGCATCATTAGTTCTCATAGTATCTTTAATTTCCATATTCAGAAGGACAAAGCTTGCCATGTAATTAGAGGAGAACAAACCATCAAAGTCTTCTCTGTGTTTTAGATGGATTGAAATTGAGTTCCAAACCCCCAGTTTAGATCCACACCAATCAAGAATGGCTTCTAAGGGCACCTATATATGTGATTAATTGAACTGAACTTGTCAAATGGTTCTTGTCCCTCCTTGATTGTGCTAAATGATCTCTCACACAGCCTGTTTGAGACATAAAGCAAAATCTTTAAATTAGAACTTTTCACGCCAATTATATTAGTAATACTATTAAGAGAGCATATTTAATACATTAAAGCATATATATAAGTAGAGTGATGATAGGGGAACAAAAAAGGAATCACCGAATTAATATCGAATTTGACGTGGTTGGTCATTCTTATCACGTGTTAAACAATTATTTTTGAAAACTGTTTAAGCAGATGAATGGACAAAAACACGTGATTCGATAATTATTCGAGATTAATTTATGGGTCTCCCTATCATTATGCATATAAGTAATATCATAAAATCACAATTATGGGCATCATTCTCCCAATGGGCAGCAGCTTTAATTGCCTTGTAGTTGAGCCCCTGATATCATCCTTAGCCATCTTGTGTTGGAATCAAGTTCAGAAAGGCGCCATGGTTGATTAGTGAAGCGTGCTTCAAACTTTTTACCTAAAAAATAAAAAATAAGAAACGTACAGAGATTAGGGGGGACGTACCCCCTATGTGCAAAAGACTAATATCCATTTTTGTAATGAAATCTTTTTAATTGCATATTTCTTGCTTTTTTGTGGCATAATTAGTTCAGAAAAATCAATTTTAACATCTTTCCACATTCACAAGGACAATTTATTTATTTTTGCATTTGTACTCTATCTGGGATAGGTTGTACTGAAAAATAAAATGAATGTCCATATAGGTAGGTGGCATGAGATAATGAAGGCCGGAAAAATGCATTTGACAAATAGGCCAATTCACCACCCAATTAAGGAATTTTATTACTTTCTAGAAAACCATAAGAGTTGCTAATTAGATAGATCTATGTATATGTATATATATATATATATATATATATATATATATATAGATGAGCTCAGCACATTCATTGTAAGCAACCAGAACTTTGAACTCGAACAAATCTCCTCACTGATGAGTACAACAAATTAATGACTAGAAAGAGTCAAACCCAACTTCTTCTCCTTACAAATATGTATATCCTCTCTCTCTATATATATATTTCCATTAATTTTGATATAGATGAGCTATAAAGAAGAATCAATATTGGCAGCATGATTTCAGAAATATAAAGACACATATATTCAATTAATTTCTGGATTTTTAAAAGACCTAAGCAAGAAAAAACCTTAATTCCCATATCCAGATATATATATATATATATATATATATATATATATATATATATATATATACCTACTAAAAGGTGTACAAGAGTACAAAGTTTGAACTATATATAAGAAGATGAGAGGAGATTTATTCCTATCCGGTACACATATAGATAAAACTTAAATATAATTTACAATTTTTTTTTTTCTCTTCTAATACAGGAATGATCATATAGATAAACCCATAAAAGAAGTATAAAGAGAGGTAACACTAACACCCCCAAAAGTTTGAGACTTGAGCCCTTCTAAGTTCAAAACAACTCAACAGATTCCCCTAAGGACATGTCCATTAGGTCATCTTGACCTTGTAGAGGAGCACCATCATCAAGCAGCCATTTTTCTAGCAATGTTAGAGGGACTTGAGTGTCCAATTTCGGCTTTGTCTCATCTTGGAAGAGGCTAGTCTCCGGTGTGAATTTGGGGTCCACCGACACAGACTGAGTGATGTCGGAGTTGGAAGAGTTGAAGCTGAACAGGGATTCGAAACACTCGGGTGTCAATGAGTTTAGTGGCCCTTCACTAGGACTATAAGCAGTCCTAATTACTTGGTCACTAGAGGAGTTCTGAGTGGTTTCTGAGCTTGTTTGAGACGATTTTGGTGAAGTTTTGGTCCAGTTTTTGAGCAATCGAGCGATGTTTTCTGTGCTGGACGCATATGTGGAGGATTGGATGGGTTTGGAATAAGGGTCATAGACATTGGATGGTTTGGATTGATCAGCAGGTGATTTGTCAAGGGACAAAGCCTCACAAAGAGCTTGCTTGGCCATGTGTATGTCTGTTTGAAGCCTTCTCTCCCACTGGCCCTTTGAGATTGACTGTGAAACTGGGAACCCATCTTCATTATTGTGATCATGATCATGATCATGTCCTTGAAGCTTTTTCAGCTTCTTCTTCAAATGGGTGTTCCAAAAGTTCTTTATATCATTGTCTGTCCTCTGAGGAAGGTAAGAAGCTATTGCAGCCCATCTGCATCCAAAAATTAATTTATAAAAAATCATGCTCCTACAAAACGTAAAATCTCTCTTCCATGACATAAGCAATACAGTAGTAAATACAAAACAAAACAAAAACACACACACACACACACACACAAAACACTTGCAGCATATATTATATAAAGTGAAACAAAAAGAGAATTGTCACTAGTCTATTGGGATTTGGAAATCTATAATTGGATCCAACCCAAATCAGGAAAGCACACACACACACACACACATATATATGACTTAGTACTTTTTGAACTGATGAACTTGAAGAGATCTAGAGAGAGAGAGAGGTGGTTTTATATACCTGTTTCCAAGAAGAGCTTGGAGGTGGACGATCATCTTCTCCTCATGATCAGTGAAGTTACCACGTTTGATACCGGGACGGAGATAGTTAGTCCATCTAAGTCTGCAACTCTTACTGCATCTAAGCAAACCTGAGATCAACCCAAAATCTGTAAGTACAAACAAATCATATCATGCAAAGAAATAAAATTAATTAACCGTATAGTCTCTCATTCAAGAACGTACAAGGTACTGCACATGAGTTGCAGTGATATTAAATACACCAATTTAATGTTGAAACCAACTCAAACCAACCCCCAAAACAAAAACATAGAAACACATAAACCCAAATATAAGTGTGTGTGTGTGTGTGTGTGTGTGTGTGTAAAGAAGAATAGAAGAGAAATTAAGATGAACCTGTATTAGTAGGCACAGCTCTCCAATTCCCAGGTCCATGTTCTTGAATGTATGAGACTAAGATGATGTCCTCTTCAGGTGTCCATGGCCCTTTTTTCACACCAATTTTATCACAGCAAGGAGGTCTGCCCATATTACCTTTAATCTCTCTCTCTCTCTCTCTAAAACCTTGTGATTTTGTGGTTAGACAAGCGTCCAAGGCAAGGGTAGCTATGGGCAGTTTAGATATATATATAGAGGGGAGAGAGAGAGAGAGGTGTCTCGTGTCTGTATAGGAAGCAATGCTAGGTGGAGGTGGTGGAGGTGGTTATCTCAACGTTGACCAAAGTAGTAAAAGGGCTATCTCCAAAGAGTCAAAAGGAAACAGCAATAAGCATTTATTCATTTGTTATGTTTTGTACAAAAAAGTCAGCTCACCTCTTTGCCTTGAGACCCTATCCCGCCTCACTACACAAACCCGCGTGGCATTCATTGTCTGTATTCTGGTTGCACTTTGGAACCCTAACTTAAATTTTGGTAAAATTACAAAGAAATTCAACTTTTACATAAATAACACTATTAAATCCTATAATTAATGAATAATGACCAACTTACTCAATAAAAAAGAAAAATTTTATGAGAGAAAATAAATTTTTTTTTTTTAAAATGATGTCATCTCTATCTCATATGAATGTTACCGTTTTAAATTGTCGGTTAATTTGGTCGGTTTGTATATCCTTATTGTATATATTCGTCAGAGTGTTTTTCGACAAATATGAGAAGTAACTATTAAAAACTTTAAGATGAAATGCTATTAAAAACTTTAAGATGAAATGCTAATGTTTTAAAGCCATAGTTAAAAATTGAAATTTTTTATCTTTCGAATTTAAAGTGTTCAACATTTAGTTAAAAGGGAAGTTAGGGTAATTTCTATCTATTTTTTAAACAAACTTAACCAAATAAGCACTTAATCTGTTATGAACTATGTATTGAATTGAATTATCCAACTACCGTCTTACTAGCTCAATCAAAGATCATCAACTTGGAGTGCAAAATCCACTTGCATGTGCAATCGTTATTCGGTTTATATATCTATTTGTATAATATAATATTCTATGTTTATCATTTAAAGAAAAATTGAGCGTTCATTATAATCGAGGACTAGAAACTCCATTTGGTATTGTGTGATCAATTACCAATCAATTGGTGGGAACTAAGATTCATCAATTGGTTTACTTTTCATGTGTACATTCAGTGTATGCCCGATTTAAGAAGCTACTAATCTCAAGTGGCGTTCATCTCTCAAAATCATGCCTCAATTGTATTTATAATCTAATTAATATTTATTTAGATCCAATAAAAAGATAAATTTATCATTGCAAATAATTGACATATTCATTCAAGTTCCTATAACTTCAAATGACAGTTTTGAATTAATATATATATATATATATATATTTCATTTCTTCTCCATATAAGTTAGATTCAATGTACTGATCAATAAAGAGTAAATGTACATTATGGGTAGGGGTGGCAAAAATCCCCAATCCGGTGGGGAACCGCCCCGCCCCCGCCCCATTTAAAGCGGGTTTGGAGAACCATTTACTTAAATGGGGTGGGGATGGGGGTTAAAAAAAAAAATACCGGCCGGTTGCGGGGCTGGGGACTAAGATCCCTGCCCCATACCCGCCCTATAACCGCCCCGTTTAATATTTTAAATTATTAATTTATTCTATCATGTTAATATATTTACTAAATTAACCTTCACTCTCTCTCTCTCTCTATATATATATATTGGAAACCCTACACTTAACACTTCCATATATACATATATGTATATATATGTGTATATGTGCTATGATTGTGTTTAAATAAAAATATAATCGGTGATGGGGCGAGGGCGGGGGCGGTTATGGGGATTAGAGGCAAAAAATTAACCGGTTATGGGGCGGTTTTGGAGGAACCAAAATTAAATGGGGTCGGGGATGGGGAATGGAAAACCCGCCCCAAACCGCCCCATTGCCATCCCTAATTATGGGTAACATTCTTTTCTTTTTTATTTCATCTTCTTCTTTATACTCTGTATGTCAATTAGATGGTCCATGTGTAAGAGGAATTGAGTGGAGGAAGAAAAATAGGAACGAAACTATGACTGCCAGGAAGCTTCTTTTAATTACTCACATCCCTACCCTCGAATCCCTTCTCAGTTTTACATGCAGTTAAAAGATTTAAGTGTCATCCATCTCTTGCATTTCAATATATTTACTTGATACAATCTTACTTACGAAAAGAAGATATATATCTTTTTACTGCTCAAAGTACAGTCTTGGCTATGAACAATCTAATTGCGTGGTATACACTTTTATTTTATTGACGATTTTTAATAGGAAAAATGCTATTTGTTCTCAGCTTTTCCTCTTTGGAGCTGCTTGTAAAAATGCCTTCTGCCTTCTCACTTGGGTTCCTCCTATACTTTAGTTTAGCCCTCTCCTTTTCTACGTATATATATATTTTTTCACCTCATACATTGACAGGCGAAAAAGTATCACTTGAATAAAAAAAAATATATTAGGTGCGTCAGACATATCGTACACCGAACTCATCCTAACTATACGAATTATGCATGTGCAAACGCGTGTCATGCATGTACCATTCGGACGAAGAGGTACACCGTGCACTTAATATATATTCTTTGACTAGTGTCATGATCATAAATTACGTTTATATATATTTATATATCCTAACAAACTACAAGAAAGGGACTCGAAAATGAAAACACCAAAAGAGTGTGGGCACTTTCCATTAAATAATACTCTTATAATCATAATTTATAATGACTAATAGTCACGTTTCCTAACTTAGTCACTTAATTTACATAAGCGAACTTAAGGGGTTATTGACATTAATTTAGTCATTGTCGATAGTGAATTGATGGTAGATTAATTAGTTCATTCAGATTTGGAAATCTCTTTCATGTGAGTCTGGGTCGATAGTGAATTTATAATGACTAATAGTAACGTTTCCCAAATTAGTCTCTTTTAAGATTTGATATATGATAGTAGTTACTTCATTTATTTTCGCATTTATAAATCATTTAAGTTTTTCATTTAAGAAAAATTGTCCTCAAAATTTGGTTAGCTAAATACATTGTTTGTGCTAGAAGACAAAAAAAAAAAATCTAATTACTAAAAGATGGCAAATTTAAGTTTCTTTGGTTATCTATCGATCTCTCTTTGATGTGGTCGTTTTGGTAACTTAGCTGGTCTTGAATAGGGGTGCACAAAAAAATCGTGGAACCGGAACCGTGAGAGGTTCCTAAAATGAGGAACTGTTGAGTTTCGGTTCCGGTTCCGGTCTCACGGTTCGGTTCTGGAACTGAAACCGTAATATATATATATATATATATATATATATATATATATATATATTTAATTATATTATTAGTGATATAATATATAATATATAATATATAATATTTTATTTTATTTTTAGAGCAAATCAATGAATCATTTCAGGCTTTCAGCGGCTCAGCCTCCCCAATAGCCTCCATCTCTATTCTCTTGACTCTGAACTTGCCTGCCCTCTCTCTCTCTGTGCAACTACAAAATCTATAAGAATCAGAAGTTCAAAATTCATATATTTCAGATCTGTATGCAAAAATCAAAAGCTCAAAACCCGGCATATCATTTCGGATTGTTCAAAAAATCAAAACCCATATCTTTCATTTTCCATCGCCCGCTGTTTCAGTTCGGGTTCGCAAGCTTCAGCCAACAGCCGCTGTCTCTTAACTCATGATTAACGGTTCTCATATGGTTCGGTTCTAATCTATACGGTTCCGGTTTCGATTACAATTCCGTTTTCTAGGAACCGTTGTGAACGGTTTCGGTTTCGGTTTCGGTTTCGATTCCGACTAAAATCATAAAAAACTGAACCGTATGCACCTCTAGTCCTGAACATGTTTCTCCATTAGAGAGAAACTAATGAGAACCTAAAATTGGGCTCGGGTCAAATTAATAAGACCCTGACATTGGGCTCGGGTCTCATTGAATTATGACAGTAATGGCTTTAGAATGTGAAAGCTTAACTATGCCTCGAAAGGATGCAACCTTTTTAAAAATTCTCCTCATCCTGTCCATCCAAATCTAGGTTTAATCTTTTTTATTATTTCAATTTATATAATTAATTTATTTTATTCTCATTAATTGACCCGGTTTGTTATATGTAATTATATATATATTTCTTTAAATAACAACTAGAAAAAATTTCCTAGTAACCCCATGTTATATTTATATATGTTTTTTGGCACATTTTGTTAATTAGAGATGTAAATGAATTGAGTCAAACTGAGTTTTGGATATGTTTAATTTTGACTTGTTCATGTATGAATTTTACTTGAGCTTAACATAAGTGATTAGTTCCAATCTCAAATGAATTCATTTTGAAAAGTTTTGATTTGACACGGTTTGGTTTGTTTAATAAAAAAAACCAATTTCAATTTCAATATCATGTTCTTGTTTGAGCTAGTTAGGAGCCCTACCTCAAAAGTTAATGTTTATTAGTCTATGTTTATAAACACATTATCTTGCATGAGTTTAATATTAACGAATTTACACAAGCCAAGTTTTAAAATGTCAAAGATCGACTCGGTTATAGTATAAATTCAGAAATCGAATTTGAGCTAAACCTTAAATGAGCAGATCCCTAACTGTTCTTGATTCATTTGACTATTAGATTTAGGTCAATTAAGACACGTGTTTAATGGCCCTATCGGCCGATTGGCTTAGGCTGACTATGATACAAACTGAGGATCCCACCCACCATTGCCCACAAGATCTATTTGTTCGATTAGCCTAAGCAGATGAATTCAAAATACATTTTTTGATTTAAAATCTTGACTCTGTTCTCCAAAATTAATAAAGAAATCACAAAATAATATATTTGTGGCTCATAGAATTCCAAATATATTTGTTATTGATGTCTTTAATGCATAAAGAAATCATTTCATTTGCATTGCTCCCAAACATGCCCTATCTACCCTTTGTATTTTTCTTTTTCTTTTTATTTTTTTTATTTTTTATTTTTAGGGTAAGGACATGCCCTACCTACTTTATCTGGCTTGTATTTCTAAAACTAACTTATCTAGTCATAAATGAATTGAGATCACGGTAATTTTCTCAGCAATCACCAGTCGTTTATATTACTGGCATGCCTGATACCTACATAATAAATACATATAGAAGATTGTACATGTATAGTTGAGAAATGCAATATACATAAAGAAGATTGTAAAATGAGAAGCCTTCTAGAAACTATCCATAAGGTGTAAAATTTTTAGATGATTCAT